GGCAAACTTTTCCAGTCTTAGACTTATATAGCTCTACCAAAGCCTGTAATTTTCTAAAAACAAAAATAGTACTGATAGAGGGGAAGATTTGTAGAGGGGAGATAGGGGGAAATTTATAGTTCAGGGTTGAAATGAGGAGTCCTTGGTACTCTCTGGGCTTGGTTATTTTCTTGCACAGGTTTCATTACCCAAATTAGGTAAACATCATCAGTCATCATCTTCAGAGCACTGATAATGTTACCTAGTTTGGGCAATGAAACATCTGCAAAGAAAACAACCAAGCTCAGAGAGCACTAAGGACCCCTCAACAAAAATAGTGTTGGCTAAAGGCATTAGTGGAATAGGCAGAACCATATCAATTGATTTTTTAGACTATGTTCTGCAGACTATGAGCTGTTTTGCAAGTGAAGGCCCTCATTCCTCAACCAAGAGAAAATACTAAAATAAGCTGAATGTTACACCAACATCATTTGATGAAAGGTGTAGGGTAATTTGGTACCTTTGCTCTTACAACCTGGCTTCCAGAAGTTGGACATCTTTTCTGCAGTGATACTGTATCTTCTTTGCATAGCCTTCAAAAGTATGTCCTTTCTCACACTGAATTTACCAAACTCTAAAGTGTAAGCAATATGCTGATAATTCTGTCATTAGCTCTTCAGTCCATCCCCCTGTCCCCTACCCCTTATGTGAGTACTGCTTTTATTTATAGAAATTACTTTTCACACTTCATTAATATTCTAAAAGAACTAATTGTTGCCTTGGTGCAGAAACAAAGGCAAAGGTACTTTGAACAAGGAAGCTAATTCGATGCCCAGCTTAGAGCAGCTGGGGCTCCCTCTCTTCTGCTCTAGATGTAGCCCAGGGTCAAGAATTCAAGGAACATCTGCTCCATTTCTGTGAGCACGAATCCTGCCCTGCTGAGATCAGGAAGAGCTCTTTCCTATCTCAGAACTACAGTAACATATCCTCTCTAACTGGAGCGTTTTCTTAACGAACGAACAAATGGATGGAATTTTTACCTATGCCAGGTGACATTGGCACATTGCTTCAGTCTTTTGATTAGTCTCACGTTCGCTTAGGAACTGAATCAGATCTCTTTGGTAATGGTTGGGTGATTCTTCAAAAGCCGTTAGGTTTTTAATATTAAGAAGTTCAGGGGTGGAGAGGGGTAAAAAAAAAACTGATTTAATAAGAATAAAAAGTGAGCATCTGTTTTGTATACTGAGGGAAAACAAACATTCAAAATGCCACGACATTTTCAGCATTGTGTCATTGGGCTTTCTCTTCCTTCTCCATGGATTATTTTTTCTTATCTATTTTTCTGGGTCGAATGCTAAAGTTTTATGTCCTGTTTTATCATGCCAAGAGGGCCACACTGGTCTTTCTGTTCCATTTCACTCTTTGCAAGCACGACAAGGCAAAGGATCACTGTTGCCAAAGTCAATACTTCACATCTGTGCACAGGGGGCAGGTTTCATGGCGCCGGCAGGAGCTTTGATAGTATTTCTATTCCTGGGCTGGTGACAAACTGCCTTCTATTCCGGGTCCCGCAAGCACACAGGTTCCATTTCAGTCTCAGATGGCTGCCTTAGGCCTGGGTGGGCCAAGCGGCTCCACCATCTTCAGTGGAGCTCTTTCGTCAATGCAGTTCTTGAAAGGCATGGCTGTGAGGGCTAAGAGGGTGAATGGAGAAGTGTAAACACACAAGTCCAATTGCTCAATTTAGGTGGCCTACAAGTTTCTCACATACAATCTCCTCCTTGTCTTTCTCCACCTGGCTCAGAACTTGTGTTCAATATTAATGAACTCCTCCTTGCCTCTGTAATTGACTGTGGCGCTGTTTTCAAGGAGTTTTGGCAAGGCAGAGAGAAAGGGAATGTGTGGGGTGGGGGTAGGGGAGACAGGGAAAAGAAAGCAATAACACAAACCAACAGGGTGAGAGGAACAAGCTTCTGAAACCACATCCTTCCCTGAAATAGAGATCATTTATTCACCTGGGCCCACACAAGGCTGGACAAGACACCATTACGGCAAAGAGGCCAAAGACACGGGGGTACTGATATTTTGTGGCACCAGGGAAGGAGGTGCGGGACTAGGTGAATAGCCCTGGGACTAGGATGGGATTTTCTGCAAAGATGAAGTGCTGAGTGAGATGCATACCAAGCTGCCTCCCTCCCCACTGCCTCTTTCCTCTTCATGCATTAGTTTATTTATACAGAAATGAGGCAGAAAGCCCCAACTCCCTTCCTACAATTCTGAGTGCCTGAGTTTGGAGCAAGCTGTTTGGTGTGGATCGAGAAAGCCCTACTGGCAAACAGGGTCTCCAATTCTGCTCAATGGGCTCATTCACTAGCTGTGATGAATTCATTGGTTCTGGCATATTAGCAGGCAGCTGGCCTTTTTCAGTGGGCCACTAAGACTTCTGGAGCATGGTAGGATTCACACCTGCTGGTGGTCTATTTGCTTATAAGAGGCAGCAGGGGAAGGACTTTTGGGTCCAGAGGAAACACTCTTTAATCCACAAGGGCCCATATTATGGGCCCATTCCTAAGTCAAAATGGCCCTACAGATATAGATGCTCTAAGCCAGGGGTCTCCAACCTTGGCAACTTTAAGACTTGTGGACTTCCAACTCCCAGAATTCCTCAGCCGGCTTTGCTGGTTGAGGAATTCTGGGAGTTGAAGTCCACAAGTCTTAAAGTTGCCAAGGCTGGAGACCCCTGCTCTAAGCTGTTCCTTCCTATATTTTCTTCTATATACTAGTCTGTCCGCTGGGTTAGTATTTTTGTGGGAATCTGAAATCAGGCAGAGTTCTATTCTGATAGCTAGTTACAAAGCTTTATAGACATTAACTGTAAAATGCTGATAGTAGAATCACCTTCTGTATTGTTGGCAAAACTCTAGAATCCAGAAATCTGCTCTACACTTTGTTTTCCAACACAGGGATTCAATAGGAATTACTAAATTGCATTGTACTTCCATTCTGCCACTGAAACTGCAAGGATGCAGCAGGACTTCATGCATGCATGCATGCATGCAGTAGCTTCGTGCAGCATCAATGCAGTAAAAGGCTTACACCCAATCAGAATCTTTATTGTGGAGCTTGGGATACGCAGATTCTGATAAGGATTCTATCAAGATGGAATAGCAAATATTATTTGTGAAGCTGGAGGTTCTGTCTTTCTCAGCCACAAATTATAATAATCAAACAAATGAACAAAGCACATGATAAAGCAATGAAGTATGTATCCGTTTTTAAGAACATTTAATGTGCTTGGAAGATGTAAGCTCTTTACAGCTGGATGCATGGGTCTACGACTAAGTGAAAAGAAAACTATTGTGGAATGTTTGTGTAGGAGCCTATTAGCTTTGCTCACCTACGGTGAGATTTTCCAATTGGAAATTTGTACCATATGACTGACTGACCTAGCGTATTGCTATATCTTGCTTTGAGTATTGAAACCTGCTGGCAAACACTCAACCTGGATACCACCCAGCCACACAGGTTCAAAATTCCTGGTGGGTGGTATAAACGTGTGGGTTCTATGAATCAGCTTTGTTGTGCTCACATCTTTGATGATTTTGTGCCATTCTATTTTAGGTTCCATCCCTTCCAATAATAATAATGTCTTCCAATGCCAATGATTCCCAGCCAAGGAAACCCATCAATATATTGTGGTCCTGATTTAGCATTCAGCTGCCAATTTTAAGTATTGGCCCCAAGCCAAAGCCCTTGTGTCATCTGAAACACCCGCTGCTTGCTGGCAGGTTGACAACCTACCACAACCTATGAGTCCCAGCTGGCCTTTGGAATGGCTTTGTGGTTTAAAAGATTGGCATTGATCAAGCACAGGATGCTAGACTTGCTTCTCTACATACGTTTTCAGGCTCTTGTCCCAAGAGAGCAAGGAAGGAAGCTCATCTTTCAGAAGTCAGTTATATTATAGATTACAATGCTCTGGCGGAAAAAACTATGTAAGAGCTGTTGACATCTGAAGAAAAGGCCTCCAAGTAGCAGTAGAAGCTAGTTATGGTCCCTATTGAATGGCATGAGAAGTCATAGGAAGAGCAATACTTGACATTTGGGTCATCCTCTGTTCAAATCCTATGCTGACCACAATGATTTAGAAAAGTGTCAAATCTCTGCAGCACAACAAGGCAGATGTGCGATATTACTCTATTGTGGTCTTATTTTAATTCCTAATAGCTGTCAGGAACCCCTTAAGGGAGACTGAATACCCTTCAGCATTAGCTGTTCCAATTCTAATCTTGCTGCCCCAAACCATGATATTTGTATTTTTTTCTCTTGGCTACTCTTGAGGAACCTCAAGTTGAGCAAGCTAATCGCTCATTGCAGATCTGTATGGACAGAATGATCTTGTAAATTACCAGTTTTGCTAAATGCTATGGTTTTTTGGTCCTATGCAAAGATTGCCTGGGGATTATAGGGGAAGTGGGACACTTTTCTTAGGTACCGGCTGTCTTGGTCATATGGAGTTAAGTAAAGTCATTCTAGTATTCTGGACCGCTGGTTATTGATGGGTGCAAAGTATTCATGCTGCTGCAAATGGACAAGCAAAGCAAATATTTGGATAATTCAGGAAACTGAATTCTGGTTCTGCCTTATGCAAAAAGCCAGCTGGCTGATTTTTGGTCGATCATCCTCTCTCAGCCATAGGAAGATGGAAGGTAAACCACTTCCAAAAATGTTGCTAATAAAACTGCAGGAACTGCTCCAGGAAGTAGCTAGGAGTCAATACTGACCCAAAAACAAAAAAACCACCACAAAACTGCAAGATGATGATGATGATAGAAACTGGGATGTTTCTGTGAGAACATATTATCCACAGGAGTAAATTAAAGGCCAGCAACAGGAACGCTATAGTATATAATCTGTTCAGCCATCAGAAAAAAATCCCCAATATTTTCCCCAGAATAAACTAAGCAATTCAATTTTATTTGTATGAAATGTTGCAACTGGAATGACAGAAGCACAGTCAATTACAAAAGTACTTCATTTATTCTGATCATAATACTGAGAATTTTTCTGATTTTAAGACTGGGCAAAAGTAAATGGTAGGATCATTGTACAGGATAAATGACTGGAGGGCAGGGGGATGTCATAGAAATCTGGCTGGATATTTCTTACAAAATCCTGTGTCCTATAGAAAAAAAAAACCATTCCTCTACTACGGAACAAGTATTTTTCTAATAAATGTAAACATTCACAGACATCTGCATATAATGATATTGCAACCACGTATGAAGGACAGTATTTGTTATGCAGACTTCTATGCTGCCATCTGATCCATTGATAAAAGTTGGCTCTGCAGTGTTATGCTCTTGGAAAATGGAACAGAATAAGCTAAAACATCCGTAATATCAATCTCCATGAATGGGCTAAAAGAATCCTTGGATTAATGTGACTCTGGAAGCTGCTAATAAGAGAAGCCTGGGTTATATTATCATAAAAGTGCAAGTGGTCTATATTGATGAACGTGCAGGACTGAGTTTTAAGATGATAACAGAGGGAACCAAAAGGATTAGCAACAACTCATGTCTATTGCACCTGTTGCAACATCTCTTCTGTCCTTGGAAAACTCTTGCACAGTCTTAGAGTCTGCGGCCTAAAATAAAAAAAACTTATCTCCAGCTGCCCACCACACTGGCTGCAGCATATAACCACTTGCCTCATGTCATTGCTATATATTACTTTGCAGCAAAAGGAAATGCAGAAGCACAAACAACTTCTGGGGGGGGAGGGAAGAGGCCTTCTTTCTCATCTCTTCACCCAGCTGGATTGGAATGGGCTACAGCTGGGAAGAGAGGAAGCACCACTGGGGAAAATGGCTTGCTGAAACCCTATCCCTAGTGGATGGCAGGGGCTACAATTCCTTCACAAGATCTCTTGTGAAACTTTAAACCCAATAGATGGCTTGGGGGGGGGAGTGGGCTGGGAAGGAAGAAGGGGGACAGCTGCAGTCACCTCCTGGGGCTGATCCCGTGTTTTCTGCCATAGTTCAGTGGTGGAAGGGGGGGGCATAGAAATTAGGATATTTAATAGGAGAAAGGGGACACAACCAGAAGGAATACACGTTTTAATGTTTCCTCAGAATATCTTTGTTCTATTTCTTGGTATGTTAGATCCTCTGGAATTGTAAGCAGGGAAAGGGACTCCTTTTGATATTTGAGGGGCTTCGACCAATCGCTAGGAAGAAAACAGGGTGGCTGTTTGTCAGGGGGTGGGGTGGAATAGTCCCACTGGGCTTTGCGATATCCTGAGACAGATTCCCAGGCTCTGAAAAGAGTGGCCAGTTGCTAGATCAATTTCAGGGAGATGTTGCTAGTGGAGTTCATGGTGGCTTAAATGGAACAGCAGCTAATGCAGAACAGATGTTGTGCATGAGCAAACCTCCTAAGAATGGACACACCACCATTAGCCTTCCCATACTATTGTAGAATACACAGGTGCACTTGCTATGCGTGCAAGCAAGCCACACAGGTGCACTTGAATATGTTTAGTCCTTTCTGGGCTCAAATCTATTTCTTTATAAAACACAGAAACAGCTGAATTTCTAAGGGCTGGTATAAATCTCATACATCTCTTTAATTTTTGTCCCTAAGCTGAATTCTGCCTAGCAGAGTGTGTCCAGAAAAACAAAGCATGTCAACTCTTCCATGGCACAGAGATGGCTCTCGCTATGGCACCTATGCATCCATCGCCTCGCAACCTGGTATACTCCAGATGACAACTCTCAGCACAATTGTGTTGCCCGTGGATACTGGATACTGCAGGGAGTTTTACATCTGGAGAATGCCAAGTTGGGAGAAGCTACGGTATTACTGAATGGGGTTGAGCATGCTACACCTGAAACGTCCTTCTATTCTCCTTTTACATTTTTCAATGAATGATGAACTTTTGGGGAACTTTGGGGAAAATTGCAAAATTTAGGAATACTGTGCTTAGGGGTGACCTGACAAAACATCCGGCTTGGATGTGAAATGTGAAACAAGGACCCTGCTGAACATGACATCGGGCCAGAAACAAAAAGTCTTATGGCCTTTAAGAATCACAAAATTGTTGGAGCAAAAGATTTGATGAATTATGCTCTACTTCCTCGGTTAAATAGCTGAAGATAACAATTCTTTCATTTGATGAGATGGGTTACGCTCACAAAAGCTCATGTTACAATAAATATATTGGAATTTGAAGTGTCACCAGATCCTCTGTTGCTTTAGCTGCATTAGAGTATCAGTGTCCCGACTTGAAAAATCAAATCAACTTCTCTTCTACAGATCATGGCAAGAGTGGGGGGAGACAGATTATGGCTAGCTGTTAAAAAGGGAGTTTAGACACACAGTTCCTTTCTAAAGCTCCACAGATATTCACTTACACAAGAACCAAATTGACTTGCAGCATTTGAACTTCACATTGAGAGTTAGGTATACCAACTGAGGCCAGACTAGTCTAACAATCATTTCAACCAGAGATGCAGGAAAAAAACCTCCAGGCAGAGGTTCTACTCCAAAAAAATAATTTATGGGTGTGGGTCATTCATGTGCATTAGAAGTGATATGTACATAAATATTTATCTCTAGGGTTATGTACAGAGGACATCAGGAGCCAGAAGGAAAGGTCCATGTCCTAGGTAGGACATCCTTGTGATTGTGTGTCCAGATAAGGATGGGACAGCCTGAGAAAGCTGGCTGGCTGACTCCTGCCAAATCATGAAGTCTCTTTAAAGTATTATTAAATTGGGAATGGTATCAGAAAAATAAGCAGGATACCCTGTGATGCTCCTAAGAGCTCCTGCCTTTAGAGAGTGTCCTTCTTTTCAAGACTAAATTACTTCCTATTAATCTGGTCATACTTGTCTTCAGTCAGCTGGCTGCACTGAAGGCTCAGCTAGAACAACAGCTTTGAGGGGACCTGAGATTACAGGGTATTGAAGCATCAGTATTAGCGCCTGGAGCATCGGTAGACATATGTAAGGAAGCCATCTGGTCCTTGTTGGTGAACTTTGGGCAGCAGATGTCCAGCAGATTCCAGAAGCTTGATGAGACTTTAAGTTCTTGCTAATATAGCTCCAGGCAGTTTCTTCGACCAGGGACATTCTGAGAACTTCAGTTCTCAAATTAGGTAATCCTTTAGGAATGAAGAAAAAAAAAAAACCACCTTCCCTAGTGTCCATGGCTTGTCTCCCTCCTCATGTCCTTACATTGTGATAAGGAAAAAGGCAAGGGGTGATTGGCAAAGGATCATGGGTGAAGACTGAATCATCAGAGGAACAGGTGCTAGTTGTGTCTTCACAGGATGGGGAATATTGTTCAAAAGGCATTGAAAGGTCCAGATACTGAAAAGAGGGAAAAAAACATACATAATCAGCATTCACAGGGATAAAGGCAAAATTCCTACTTTTTGTTGCCAACAACCAGCTGTTTAGACATCTTCAGTGGAACCATCCCCTGGGAGTTCAAGCCAGTGGTGAAATTCATCTGGCTCTATCTGGATCGCACGATCTGGTAGGCTGGCGGCTCTGCCCACTCACCCAGATGTCATCACGCTCAATTTTTGACCCTCTGCACATGCGCAGAAGGCTCTGGGCATGCATGGAGGAGGCGCGTGCCCTCACATTTGCAAACCGGTAACGAAGGTAAGTGAATACCACCCCTGGTTCAAACCTACCTCATCCGAGACAGCAACCAGGACTTTATCCAACCCCTCCACTAACTGCTTAAAGGTGGGTCGTTGGGAAGGTACAGCATGCCAGCACTCTCTCATCATCATGTACCTATTTGGGAAAGAGAAAAGCTTCAGATATCTATTTTCCACTGGACTGTAGTCTATGGACATGGATGCAATGCATCTGGAAGACAAGCAGGCTGGGAAATGTAGCTTTAGGAGGCACAGTGCTACTTACAGTTCATGGGTACAATTGGAGGGCTTGTCCATTCGGTGACCTTCTTTCAGGAGTTTGAAAAGTTCTTCCACTGGGATGCCAGGATAGGGGGAGCCACCCAGTGTAAAAATTTCCCACATGAGAATCCCAAAGGACCACCTTAAAGTGAGGAAGAGACAGAGAGAAGGTGAGAAGGCTATGAAGATTTTCAGAATATATGTATATAGAAAGCAATCCATGTGGCAAACAAACCTCATGAATGAAAATTATTACAGATATTTATCAACATTTGTTTGTGACCACAAATGGCAGAGCACGGTAAATAGAAAGTATCCAGTATGCAAAAACCAGGGTGAAAATAAACATCTATTTCAGGAAGGAAGGGACTACTGAATAGATCAATTACAGATAGTTTGATGGAAACATTGCTCTGGCTTTGCGATGAAAACTTCGATTCATGTATTAGGAACATTCGGGAACTGATATATAATAGATTCCACTTATTCTCCATATTTCTAAAATACTCAGGGAAGAGTTGCAATACAATATGCTGTATTAGAAACACAGCTGAGGTGCAAAAAGTCCCCTCTTCAACCATTTCCAGGGACAGCTGGGATGTATCCTTGTCTGGAACTCTAAAATGGGTTACAGCCAGTCAGTGTAGATATTGTGGATTTAGGTAGACCAACAGGTTTCCCCCCACAAATAAGGCAGATTCCTTTGTTTTTTTAATAGGTGAAAAATCAAAGAGATGTATCTGAAACATTTTGCAATATTTATCTGTAGGTATGCAAACTTTAGATTTGATCCCCACAAGTTGATGGGAACACCAGCATAAAATCTATTTACAACACCCTAAACAATTATGCCTCTTTTCCTGGGACTGTACGGCAGAAGCTGCAATATCCTAGGTCAGAGGTGGGCAACTATGGCCCTTTTATGACTTGTGGACTTCAATTCCCAGAATTCCTGAGCTAACATGGATATCTCAGGAATTCTGGGAGTTGAAATCCACAAGTCATAAAAGGGCCATAGTTGTCCACCCTTGTCCTAGGTGCCTGTTTTAAGATGTTGCAGACAGGTGCTAGGCTTACATTCCAAAGCATTTTTGGAAGCAGATCCAAAATACTACAGAGCTTTACTCGGTTATTTTACCAGGCACATTTCTATTGGGTGATTAGATAGTTAGAACCATCTAGTCTTGCATACTCATACTTACACATCACTTTGGTGTGTATACACTCTGTCAAACAGAGCTTCTGGTGCCATCCATTTTACAGGCAAGCGACCCTGCAGGTAAACATGAGAAGCTGTCAGTTCATTGTTGCTTTTTTTTTTTTTTTTTTGAGGTGACAAATCGCCTCTTACAATTCGCTCAAATCTTTATTTTCTAAATCACTTTCTATACTTCAAAAGCACAGGTAGTCCTTATTTATCAACAACTGGAACCAGCAACTCCATTGTTAAGTCAAGTGGTCACTAAGGGCTTATGAACTTAGTTCAGCTTTCCTTTGCTTTATAGATAGTGAAAGTGATAAATATGAGAGCTGGTTGTAAAGTTACTTTATCATCATTGTAACTGTGAACAGTTGCTAAAGGAGGCAGTCGTTAAATGACAGATACTGCAGTACTTTGTTTCCCTACCATTGGTCCTGTTCCTCTTAAAAATACTAGACAGCCAGATCTTATTGGTTCTGGCAGTGGACAGTCACATTAACAGCCATCATTTTCGGAATAGTTCCCATCCATCGTCTTCTACAAGGCCATCATAAAGGCTTCACAATACACAGTCCTTTGCATCAACTGAGTGCTGGAAAGGTTCCACTGCATCACTACCCTTGACTCCATCGGCTAGACAGGAGCCAATGGGCATGGCACGGTCAGTTTCTGAGAGTATTCCATGCTGCTGGGGCTTGATGGTGAGTTGTGTAATGGAAAAGCTTGCTTATTCAGCCACACTCTTGTTTCTTTTCTTGCAGGGCTATTAAGCAGAACTGGGCAATTTGCTGGGTTTAATGTTCTAATGACATGAGTGATTGGATGGAATTGGTTTAATCTTATGCAAAACTGGCTTGTTTCAAAACAAATCTAGAATAAATCCCTTGGGTTTAGATGACTAGATCAGCTGACCCCTTCTTGCTATTCTTGCTGTTTTGGGGAGAGGGGTACTTAAAATATTCTTAATTTACCCATGTTTTTCCCTATGATGCTTTGCATTTCCAAAGCACCTGAGCAGCATTAAATCCTCTAGCAACCCTGTGGCCATCAAATGGTCTTTTTACTCACATTGCTGGTTTTCTTATAGTAGTCTATGTCATGAACTCCACGGGCCAAGCCAAAATCAGCAATTTTCATCACATTCTCTTCAGTAACAAGAACATTGCGAGCGGCCAGGTCCCGATGAATACACTGGAAGGAAAACAAAAGAGTTACATCAAACTCCAAGGACTCTACTATAACCTTGATGTCACCATAAATTATCTTATTTCTCCTTCTAACATAAATATGAACAGGGACTTTTTACATCTTTCTAGTTTTCTTTTTCTCAGGCCTGATATATATACAACATTCTGTTGTTGGATCTCAGGCAGTTCAATAGCAAACTTAATATGGAGTGGAATGAAGATGCCAGAGCACTTAGTAAGCATCAATCTATATAATTTTTTTCTGGACCAAAGAACATATTTGGTCTGAGTCTTATTCTATTGGGTCTCATTCTCCAAGTGGATGGACATGAGAATTTAACTGATCTTAAATTAATCAGAACTAAATAACATTACTCCTTATGTTTTTAAATTTCTCCTGTCCCAATAAAAACGATATTTTAGTCACCATTTTGAGAAAAGTATTGTGGGCCCAATCTAAAGCTTTTGTGGCTGTGAATTCAAATTATATATTTCTGGATCAGAGCTGACTAATATACCCAAGAAGGTTTCTTGGGGCACCATAATGACAAACAGCAGTGGACACTATCTGGCCCAGATCCCTCTTACCCGCTTGGACTCCAGGTACTCCATGCCACGGGCCACCTGGTAAACACAAGAAACCAAGTCTTTGAAGGAAAGCTGCTCCTCTGGCATCTTGGTAATATCAAATGTGTAATCAGGTGTTGGAGGTCGGCGAGCTCGCAGATACTCTCGCAAATTCCCCTTGGCAGCAAACTCCACAATCACATAGAGAGGACCTATAGTTACAGTAGATACTATGAATCACACTTTGCCTCAGAAATTGCCTCCAAAATGTCCTAACCTTTGGTCCCAATTCCACCGGGTGCCCATGTTCAAGTTCAGCATCCTGACAGATCCTACAATTGCAATACCCAATTCCCCACCCTGCAATGAGTTCTGCCTCATTCCAGCTGAGTTGTCATTTCTTAGTCTTTTGCCTCCCAAACATTCTTTCCTTTCCTGCAATGCCCACTGTATTTTCCGCCATTTCTGGCCGGAAATGAAGTCACTCACCATCTTGGGTACAGACCCCCAACAGGTTGATGATATTCTTGTGTTGGTCCATCAGTTTCATCATCTCCATTTCCGAGATCAGGTCAGCCAGGTCTTTATCTGTAGCATTATCTAATAAGGCAAAGAAATAGGTTTATATGATTCCTGAAATGATATGAAGACCCATGTTTAAGAATACCACGAATAATGAGAAAAGTCAAAAGGATGAGGCTTTGGGGCCTTATAAAATACATTTACCTTTCAGCATTTTGACAGCAACAGTGAGAGGCCGTTCTGGATCAATCCCATAGGCTTCTGCTCTCACCACCTGCCCGAAACAGCCCTCACCTAACGGCTTGCCTAGCACCAGCCTAGGAACAAAAAGGACAACTTCAGAATTGGGAAGATGGGCCAAGATTAACAATGTGCTGTAGGGCTGCAACCTTGATTAAAAAACAAACAAACACTAAATAGATTTTAAGTGTTGTGTCTTAGGCTGATCTATGAGTTGCTAAAGTCACAATGGATCCTTTTAGCAATGGAATATTATTCTTCCAGATGTCAGATGAGTGTGGATATTGAACTAGCTTTCAATAACAAGTACAGGTAGTCCTCGACTTACAACAGTTCATTTAGTGACTGTTCAAAGTTACGTCGCTGAAAAAAGTGACTTATGACCATTTTTCATACTTATGACCATTGCAGCATCCCCATGGTCATGCGGTCAAAATTCAGACAGTTGGCAACTGACTCATATTTATGATGGTTGCAATGTCCCAGGATCATGTGATCGCCTTTTGTGACCTTCTGGTAAGTCAAGGGGGAAGACAGGTTCACACAACAACTAGGTTACTAATTTAACAATTGCAGTGATTCATTTAACAACTGTGGCAAGAAAGGTCGTAAAATGGGGAAAAGCTCACTTGATAACTGTCACGCTTAGCAACGTAACTTTTGGGCTCAGTTGTGGTCATAAGTCGAGGACTGCCTATAGCAATTCCTTTTCAATACCTTTCAAGTAACAGATAGTACTATATGCCAGAAAGAAGTGACTGAAGTGCATTTCTGATATGGACAAATGTGGCATATTTGACTGGCCTGGGGTAACTGTGATACTTGAGATTTTTGTCTGCTGCACACTTTGTTGAGGAGCAGTGTTTCACAACATCCAGCTGTAATCCTACACATCTGGGAGGCCTTAGCTTGTGGAAGTTTGTTGTAAAATGAAGATGGAAGCTTCGCAGATGTGTAACAAAGCAAGTGTGTCATATTCCTTTATCTGTTCTGAATGGGGTAGCCATTTTAGAACTATCATACTACCAATATTTACTAAGTTCCACCTCTGTATGGACACAGAAAACATTAATCTGTGGATATCTTTATGTCAAAAACTTGGCAAAAGCAGAAAATGTAGGAACCAGCTCCTAATAGTATAATAAATAGGAACCTTGATAAGGGATTACAAGCATTTCCCCCCCATTTTTCATCTTTTAGCAGAGCTTCAGCTTGTTAAGATATTGTAAAAGTAGCTGTGCTTCTCCAGTAGCAAATGCAATAAAAAAAAACAAAACCTCCTTATACGCATACCTGTCCCGTGGGAATTCCCACTTGGAGTCCAATGGCAGTTCCACTTCCATAACTCCAGCTAGCATGGGAGTACAGCTTGAGGAGAGGCGAGTAACACGCATTAGTGATGTTGTGGACTTCCCTGAGGAGCTTGATTCCAAGGAGAACTGTGAGACAAACCAAGGACACACATTAGATTGGTCCACAAATGTTAATGTCTTCCAGAGCAGCAACAGTCAAGACATAAATCTGCTAGATTCAAGTGACAAAATGCCACAGGTGTCAGGTGGTATAGCAGAATACATAATACACTGTACAAGGTCCATCTAGTAATATTTTGTCTTTCCAGAATTGGTCTGACTCTTAAATGAGGTCTACACATGGGAAATGTAGCAGATCTACCGTATTGAGAGATTTTTTGGAGCCCTTAATGAAGTAGGGAACTTGTACATTTACAATCATTTGGTGTACCGCAGATCCCTATTGTTTACAATTAACATTTGTTCCATGCTACACAGGTAGGCCTCAATTTATAACAGTCCATTTAGTGAATGTTCAAAGTTACAACAGCACTGAAAAATGTGACTTATGACTGTAGTTATGACCTTTGCAGCACTCCCTTTTGATCATGTGATCAAAATTTGGAGACTTGGCAGTTGACTGATATTTATGATGGTTGCAGTGTCCCGGGGTCATGTGATCACATTTTGCGACTTAACCATAACCCTAACGTATCGACTGCAGTGATTCACTTAACAATGTTGGCAAGAAAAGTCATAAAATGAGGTGAAACTCATGAACAAATGTCTCATTTAACAACAGAAATGTTGGGCTCAATTGTGGTTATAAGTCGAGGGCTACCTATAGATAGCTTTACTCATGATTGGGGAACTTTAAAATTAATGCAGTGATTAATTTTCCTGTTTTTTCAGTAGGTCACTGTTTGTAATACGTACCTGTCGAATAAGAGGAAATTTGGAGAGTTTGTGCACAGCCATTGGTTCCAGAGGCTGCTTGCTTGGCTGAATTTGCATGCGGCATAAAATAACAATGACAATAGCCATAGCAATAGCTAAAGACCCTGAAGTGTAGATAATTATATCAGTGTATTTGATTTCAGGAGCATATACTTCTTCAACTTCTTCTTCATCTGCAAATAGCAAATAAATCTTCAGTTAATTAATTCTATAATTAAACTAACTGTCAATACCTGAATATGTTTCTGGAGATGTTAAAGCAGAGGAAAAAATATTGAATTGTTCAGTGTGGTTGGTCTTCTTCAAAGGCAGCTATCTGGAAGCCACTTATAATTCCCTTTTTCTGTTAAGAATGTGATCTTACATAATAAATTATTTACAAATCTACATTTTAAGAAAAACTCCAAAATGTGCACATGTTCATATAACATTTATTATTGCTACCAATCATTTCTTGGCAAATGTATTTTAAGAGGCCCCTGATATATGTTCACATTCAGATGTTATTCATTTCAGTTTGAGGCATGAAACTGGCAAAAAAATAAATTCATAACTTAACTATCTATACTGTTTTTCACATTATTTAAAAAAAAACATCCTTTATTCATAGAATAACATCATGTTTTATCACATTTCCTTTGTTGTCATATTATTTTTTAAACTTGTTTCTTATCAGAGGGGTTCATGGCAATGTATTATAGCCTGTGAATGAATGATATGGCTCATGCCTCATTCTAGAGATGAAATGGGTTCAAAAGTTCCTTTGAAGACACACTGATTGTAATTTGGCCTGCCTTTGCTGTTCTCACACTGCTGTATGGAGCCAGATAACTTTTGTGGTGATTTGCATTGAACATGGTGAATATTAGTGGGTTTTGTTTCATGTCACTATAATTTGTTAGAGGGTTGCTTCTGCACTGGGTGATGATGTCCTTCCTGCCTCGGGGGCTGCCATTTTCATGATTTCCTGAGATTCCTGAGGCAAAGGTTTTCCTGAAAGGCTGGATAGAGTGAGTGCTATTGGATATGTTAAGCTGCAAATGTCCCTTCCTTCCTTCCTTCCTTCCTTCCTTCCTTCCTTCCTTCCTTCCTTCCTTCCTTCCTTCCTTCCTTCCTTCCTTCCTTCCTTCCCTCTCTCCCTCCCTCTCTTTCTCTTTTTATTTATTTCTTATTTGTTTTCTGCCCATCTCGCTGTGAGCAATATTCCTGATGTGGCCAACCATCTGGCTCCTGTTATGGTTCCCAGGGTTTTAGACAGTCAAAACTTCCCTCTTGTCTATCAGCAGCATCCAGCTTTTTATTCTTTGGACTTTCTATTTGTTCTGCTATTTTGACAAGGATGGGGGGAGGAATTTGGATCTGCTTCAGGGAACTCTACGTTGATAATATGCATATTTCCATAGGTCAGTGAAAGGGGCTGCCATGCCAAGAGGTCTTTCCTTAAAGCAGAGGTGGGGAACGATGGCCGCTTTATGACTTGTGGACTTCAACTCCTGGTTGCCTCAGGAATTTTGGGAGTTGACGTCCACAAGTCATAAAAGGGCCATCATTCCCCACCCCTGCTTAAAGTGATAGCAACTGCCTTGGGTAGTTGGTAAAATGAAATCAATTAGAAGTCTGGCTACTTTATGTGTTGCCACTAGAGTTTCTCTCATATTATCCAATCTTTTAATAATATCAGCTTATTCTGACAGGGCACAAAAAGAGTTAATCAGTTTTCTTTTTTCAGAAGGTTATCTGTGTACTGTCTTGCTGTAGGTAGAGCAAACTGTTTGCCTGAGCAGTAAGATCTTGAGGGCAGAACTGGTAAAGTGGCCTTGGGGTTATCTAAAGTTGAGTGAGTATGTGTGTATGTCTGTGTGTCTTGTACTCTGTTCCTATCAAGAGTTTAGTTTTAACAAAGCAACTACAAACAGCTTCCTTACAAGCCCTGAAATGTGCCACCCCTGCTGTTTCTCACCTGGAAGCACGGTAAGCCAGGCGGATTGGTAGGACAAGCCGATAGAATTTCCAGCCAGACAGGTGTATTCACCAGCATCCTCCATGGTGACATTCTGTAAGTAGAGGACTTCCACTTCTGAGCTGTTAATATCTGCTGTCTACCAGGGTAAATACCAAACAAGGGCAAAAGACAGACAAACATTAGTTGTGGGCAACACAAGAATGGTGTCCAAGCATCTCTTTGGTTAAGGAATCATTTGCTTGTTTCTGCTATTAATATCATCGGGCTCCAGCTACCAGCCCTGGATGACATGTTCACATCTCACTATTTGAGGAAGTTGCACGACATCTTCACATCTCACTGTTTGAAGAGTCTCAGAGACTCCTCCCATCCTGCTTACAATCTTTTTGGACTGTTGCCTTCTGGCAGAAAATTCAGAACAATTAAAACTCGGACCACATGTCTTCCGAATAGTTTTTATCCTAGAGCTATAATTGCACTCAACAATGAACTAAAGGGCCACCATCAGTGAGCTGTTGGACAGCATTACTTTGCCTGCTGTGTGGATGTTTGGGTGGTTTAGGGGTGGGGAATTTTTGGTGGCTGGGGGTGTGGGTGGGGATTGTCATGTGTGTTGGGCTTGGTCTCTGGATGTTATATGAATTTCGTTGTATGGCTATACTGTGTATATAAGTACTATGACAATAAACTTTATATATATAATATGTACCCTGTTTCCCCCAAAATAAGACATCCCCTGAGAATAAGCCCAATCGGGCTTTTGAGTGCATGGCAATAAGGCCAAGTGCTTATTTCAGGGTTCAAAAAAATATAAGACAGGGTCTTATTTTTGGGGAAACACGGTAATAATGATCTAATATTATTTCATTTCTTCCCACTTGGTCAGGCAGGGAAGACTTGTTGCAGACCCTGCCAATCAAAGAATTCCAACTAGCAGGGTCCAGGAAGAGCGCCTTCTCTGTCATTGCCCTGGCCTCTGGAACATTCTCCCCCCCACCCCCCAGAAGTGAGGTGGATCCCCACTCCCCTAGCCTCCTGGAAAAGACATGAAAACATGGCTCTGCGGCCTTGGGTAGGTTGAACAGAGGAGCACAGAGCTGTCAGTCAGGTTAGCTCTCTGAGACATTTCGCTTCGCCTTTTAATTAATTTTTAGTATTAAATTTTAATAAGCCTTCCTCTTTTAAATATCATATACTGGTTTTATGTTTTAATATTTTATCTACACACCACTCAAGAGTCCCTCCGTGAGGGAGATGGGCAGTTTCAAAATTTGATATATTAAAAAGAATTTACCATATGTTTGGGAAGGTCCACATTTCTGTGAAAGATATGCTATACATGTAATATATTTGTTGCTAGCTTTTATTATAATGGAGGGTTTTTTTTAATGAAAACCCTATGAGATTCAGGTTTCTAGCTGGAAAAGTGTTAAACTGTGTGGCTTGTTTTGCCATAAAACGTTTTGTTTACATTTTTCAATACACTCTACCAACAGTTGATACAAATGAACATATCACCATGTCTATGTTTGAATCCCACCTTTCTTTTGGGGGACTAACAAAGCTATCATATCTTTCTTTAAAAAGTATTGCACTTATTGCACTGTATTGCAATGGCTGTATATTTACCAGGTGGCACCTTCATTTGAGCGTGCCTTAATTTGCCATGCTATAGGTCAGCAACCATTTCCAAATTAAAACCACTGAAAGCAAAAACACCCATGTCCAGCCTTGAACTGAAAGGGATGTGGAGAAAGCGACATGGGTGTCAACAGAATTTTTCAGCATGGATAGAGAGTAAGATTCTTGCCTTCAACCTCTCATTTCTTTCTCATCTACTCCTTGAGGAAAACCAATTACTGATTAACATCCAAATAGTGAAGATGGCACGGTCTCTATAGCCCTGCCATGTTATAAATATAAATATCACCGAGCAACATGATTTATTGTTTTACATTCCCATTAAAAAAAAAAAAGTAGATCTGGTTACCTTAAGGATCTGCACATAGGGGACTCCATCTGGACCAAAACTGCTGCCATTCACTTTGATGTGTTTAAGCCACTGTATGTGGGGCTGTGCATCACTGTATACTTTGCAAAAAAACTCTACATCACTGCCCATCACTGCTGTGGTATTGGCAGGCAGCCCAGCTTGCAAGATAGGTCTGTGTGGTGACCTCTCTGTCAAGAAACAAACCAAAAAAATGTTCAGTTGTCCAACACAGATGAAGGGCATCATCTCTCTCAAGACAGGTTACTGCTGGACTCTCCAGTAGCAATAACACTTATTTATCTATCTATCTATCTATCTATCTATCTATCTATCTATCTATCTATCTATCATCTATCTATCTATCTATCTATCTATTTATTTTATTTCTATACCGCCCTTCTTCCAAAGGACTCAGGGCGGTGTACAGCCTGATTAAAAGCACAAAAACAGACAAAATTTAAAAATAATTAAAATTATTAAATAATTGGCTCAATTATAAAACCCCAAATTTAAAATCCCATATTTAAAACCAATTAAAACTTAGACTTATATACTGCTTCACAGAGCTTTACAGCCCTCTCTAAGTGGTTTACAGAGTCAATATATTGCCCCAAACAAGGAAGGATGGAAGGCTGAGTCAACCTTGAGCCAGTGAGACTCGGACTGCTGGCAGCCAGCAGTCAGCAGAAGTAGCCTGCAGTACTGCATACTAACCACTGTGCCACCATGTACATCAATCACAGATCGTGATTCAGAGCAGGCCAAAAGAATGAAACAGAATCAGCTTAGATATACCCATCTAATAATAGCAGTTTGCAATTTTCATTTAACACAGCACTACTAATGGTCTTGCCTCAAAACTTGAGAGAATCATAATTTCTTCCCTTCCATAGACCAGTAAAACTTGCTATGCTTCTGATATTACATAATACCACAGGAAGACTTCCCAGCCAGGGATGGCCCCAGAGACTCTGGGCCGATTAAGAGTAACCCCAGAGAAGATTGATAGTAAAGAATGTAGAGATAAGAAAGCAAATGCTTAATGCTCTGCCTAGGGTTTCAGGCAGGGTTAATTAATTTCATCTGACTTTGTGGCCCAAGAGATCTTTGTCTTCCTTTGAAGCTAGCAGAGGATTCGGGGTTTCCCCCTCCCTCAATCTGGGCAGTCTGAGGTCAGGATGGTGCCTCTGCCTTCCTAAGGAAAATGGCAGGCTGCCAATACCTGGGTTTTGCCCCTCCCGCCCCCAACTCACAAGCATTCATCAGCACAGGGACTAGGAACTTCTGAAAATGGAAATGCTCCATTTCATTTTCAACTGTGCTCCATTTTTTATCTTTGAATTGGTCTCCTTAATACAGAGTCTGACTATTTTCCTATGGCCAACATGTTCCTTTTGCTTTGTGTTTGCTTTCCAATAGCCTTCCATTAAAGAATACTCGGATCCCATTCAAGGTTTGTGAAGGAAGGCTTTCTCACCCAGTACATCCAGAAAGTAGCTGTAGCGAATGCTGCCAAATTTATTCTCCACCAAGCAAGTATAGTTGCCTCGATCGGAAGGTACCACACTCTCCATGACCAAACTCCAGTGTTGATGCCTGAGCTGGGAATAGAAAAAGTGATGCAAGCTACCGTTATCACTGGTGCATTCTTTGTTTTGCAGAGCTGTCCATTTTTCCTGAGTGTTAAGTCTAAGAGAATCTCATATTTCAGACATGGCTACTTCAGCTTGTGGCAAAGTTAGGAAATACAGGTAGCTCTCGACTTACAATTGAGCCCAACATTTCTGTTGCTAAGTGAAACATTTGTTAAGTGAATTTTCCTCCGTTTTACAACCTTTCTTGCTACAGTGGTTAAGTGAATCACTGCAGATGTTAAAATTAGTAATACTGTTCTTAAGTGAATCTGGCTTCCCCATTGAATTTGTTTATCAGATGGTTGCAAAAGGGGATCACGTGACAACCCCCCCCCCGGGACACAGAAACCATAATAAATATCAGTCACTTGTCAAGCATCTGATTTGGATCATGTGACCACACAGATGTCGCAATGTTTGTAAGTGTGAAAAAGCATCTTAGTCACTTTTTTCAGTGCTATTGTAACTTTGAACTGTCACTAAATAAACTGTTGTAAATCGAGGACTACCTGTATTGTTCTGGGAGATTTAGGACAGGGAGAGTTAAAAAGAGACCAGGGCTACAACTAGTATTTAAGGCTTTGGTAGTTCCTTTTGTAGAGATGACATCTATTCCTACACACAAATGTTAAGCCCACACATGCAAAGGCCTTGGAATCTACCACTAAGAGGTTCTGCATGTGCCTTTCATTATGAATAGTTTGGCTTCCTCTTCCTCTATATTACATGTTTCTGTAGTTCTCTCCACCCAAAGCCCTAATTCATAAAACCTGGTGTGCTAACCAAGAGAATGGAAGGAGAAGGAAGGGGAGGAAAGAACAATCCAACTAGGGATGAAATCCAGCAGGTTCTGATAGGTTCTGGAGAACCAGTAGCGGAAATTTTGAGTAGTTTGGAGAACCAGCAAATGCCACCTCTAGCTGGCCCCAGGAGGGGGAAGGGAATGGGGATTTTGCAGTATCCTTCCCCTGCCATGTCCACCAAGCCATGCCCACAGAACTGGTAGTAAAAAAATTTGAATTTCACCACTAAACCCAACCCATTTAGGTCTTACCCGAATTCCTCCAATACGGTGCTCCCCACGGAATTCCCGCCCATTCTTCAGCCAACGAATTGAAGGGGTGGGATTTCCTGAAGCTGGACAGCGGAACTTGACTGTGTTTCCTGCTGGGACTGCATGCAGCTTTTTGTCCATTCGATGAGGATGTGTCCAATAGGGTGCTAAAAAAAGAAGTGACATAACCCATTCAGATTTTAGCGAAGGCTTCACAAATGTTCTCTTCTTAGGAACAAAGATTGATTTTTTGCTATAACTGAAGCAGGGAGGGGATGAACCTTGAACTGGCTTCCAAGAAAAAAAAGCAACAAATACAAGAGTTTAAGGAACAGAAAATGTTACTCAGGCACTCAACGGTGTGCCAAAATGAATGACAGCACTGCATTCATTCTGCCAGGAATACACAACATTCTGAAAGACACCAATTGCAGGCCATGTGCCATGTGACTACCAAGTCATGCGTCATCCTTGGTAGCAGAGTGGTGGTAATAAGTGTCCCACACTTTGGGGTTCCTTGAGATTTTTGCAATAGAGGGAAGATATCTGGCTATAGTTTTCCTTGTCTTTGCTCCTAAAGGGCCATAGTACACAAGATTGAGTAAGTATAGATTAATGACCCGAATACTAACCTCGATGGGCATGTACAGGCTCCTCATTAGAATCAATATGAGAATTCTCCACATCACTGTCTTCATCATCATCTCCTGAACCCAATGAATCTAAAATCAAAATGAGCAGAGGTGACACTTTGTACTAAAACACCCCCGAGTAATTATGGGACAGTGGATGGATGCCACATATTAAGAGGTTTGGTTTCTTTACTGTTGTGCCAGCACTCTTCGAGGAGAAGAGGCAAAATGTTAGGTGGATGAAGGGAAGGGCAGTTACAAAAGACAAATAAAGAGAGTTGGCACTGCAGTGCTAGATTTGTACACCAAGGGTTACATTGTAGATGTTGTTCTGCAAAGGAAGTTTCACCTTATAGCCATCCTTGTGTTTTGGAAGATGTCTTCCAAAGGCCTGGAATTAATGTGTGTGTGGAGACCCTGTTGCATTTTCTTTAGGTATTGTTTTTTTTTTCTAATCAGAGTGGTTATTACTTTGTTATTGTATTTTTAATTGTGTAGTTCAATATTATAAACTGCCCAGAGTAGGCAGCCATAACGAATTTAATAAATTAATATGTAAAATCTGAGACCCTATGTTGTTAAATGGTATAATGTGTGACAGTGCACAATCTCAACCCGTGATCATTTCTAAGCAAGAGTAGGAAAGGCTCTGGTCTAAAATCGTACCACGTCCGCTGATGATATCCTGAGCTCAGTGGATCGTGTGATCTGATTCAGCATACCTCAAGCTGCTTCCTGTGTTTCTTTTGAAAACAGTAAATATCTTTGGATATTTTGAAACCAGTTAGACCACTGCAAACCTTTCTAGTCTTATGCTCTTACCTACAACAGAGATAGTAAAATTACGCAGACTTTCCCCAGTATTCCGCGCACGGCATGAGTATAATCCTGAATCTTCGTAAGTGGCTTCAGGAATCTCCAGCAAATTTTGCTGAATGTGGAGGCGTTCACTAGGGGGAAGTTGCTTGTCTTCCTTATACCACGTGATAACAAGACTGTGATTGGTACTGCAGTAGAGCTTCAACTGGCTCCCTGGATCCAAAACCAGATGCTCCTCTTCTGTCTCAAGCATGTGACTGTCAAATATCTCTGTCCAATATAAAGAAGGGACGATCAATGCAAATGACAAGTTTTTCCTGCTCTCCTGCCATCTTACAAATACTTTGAGCGATGGAATAAGCCATTTAACAAACTCTACAAAGCAAAGCTATTTTTATCCCAGGGTACAAATCTTACATCCCTAGTATAATAAGGCACAATGGTAGTGTAGCAGGATTTTCCATTACATATGCCAGACTTCTTCAAGCAGGTACCCTTCAGACGTGTTTAAGCTGAGTACTGTTCTCATAACAATCTTCAAATACTGCGACCAAAAGCTCATGGTGGACATTTGAATTGCTACGGTCTCAACACTCTAGGAAAGCTGCAGGCTGAAGGAACTCAGCTTAGCTACTCACTTTTTGTTATTTCACCAATTCCAAAACCTAACTTTAGGAGCGATGGAAGATCTTAAGTATAGCTGCACTTAAAACAGCAACTTATAAATATGTCCGTGCCCAGATTTAACTTGGTACAGAAAAAAAGTTTCAACTGGTTGTGTTAGTATATCATGCTTGTCCAGGCATAACTGAACTAGGATTTACTCAAGTGCCCTCAGAACATTCTGAACCATGAACTAATAACATGAGCTGAGTTCACGCAGCAGCCTAAGTTAAAATTTAGTTATGGTAGCTAGTTATAAAGCTCAGAGTTCTGTGGGGACCTCCCTGGGTGAAACTGATCAACAGAGTAAGATTTTGCTCTGGGACAGAGAAGTAGTAGTTTGATCAAGGAGGATAGTCCGATCTGGAAAGCTGCCCAACATATTACTCCTAAACTCATAGCAAAACTTTTTCACAATTTAGCCTCCGACACCACTGCCTTCAGATTCCTGTCTTCTGTGCTGAAGAATAATCCGATGCATGTTTGAAAACTAAGCACAGTGCAAAGATTTCAAAAATAGCAAATGGTGTCAATCTACTATTTTCAATTCATGTAAACCTTTCATCTTCTGAAATCCACAGAGCTCAGAGTAAAAGCACAAAATACATTATACAACTAGAGAGACCTGTTCATACCTTCAATTTATTTTTTTTAATTTTTTAAAGTGGGTATAAAAGAAGTACTTGGTTTCTTAGGGTGTAACAGCTCAAACTTGCTGCATATTTGTAAGTATTGTTTTAATAAAAGCATTAATCTGACAATGTTGTTTACATGCTAAATTTCTTACATATTTTGCATTCTTACATTCTGTTTTTCTTCAGAATCTTCTGTTCAAATACGATCCCACCCAAATGCTTAAACATTTTTGAGAATCTTGCATTTTTTTAAACTTTAATTTACAACATTTCTAACAGATCTGGAAGATAAAATTTGGAATGTGGGGAGCAGACTAATATGCAAGATATTGAGGAATCTCCGCAGTCGCTCTAACTTTAGAGGCACACACTCAATTTCTGGCTTGCTCTACAGCAAACCACAGGGTAAAGCTAGCCAAAATGTTAGGTTGCATTGGAAAAATTGTCTCTTCTCTTTTGACTATGAATTAAGCGCACAAGCCTGTGATTGTGCACAGGTTCAGCAAATCCGTCATTTGGAAGGAGAAAGCAGTATCAGGTAAACACGTATACAAGCTGACGGCTTACTGGGTGTCTTACTGTTGTTTTTTACGCTTACAGGCTAAATAGTTTAAAGTAATAGAGTTATGGAAAAGTGTTGCCCAATTCCACTCTTTCCACTTTGGGATTCTCCAAATCCTGTCCATAATCCCTTTTGTTCTGCATTCCCTCCCTTGCCCCGGCAATGATGTCATCAAAGCCCCTTTTCTGCCAGTCCTGGGCTGGAGAAAGGATCCCCAGGAACACTGAAGCATGACTTTCAAGCTCAACCCCCACCCCCACCCCCCAAATTCTCTCTGTGGGAGCTCTCAATTGAGTGATCAGTCCCTGAGCCCAAGGTGACTGTTTTGACAGATTCCAAAATGAACATGTCAGGAAGCCCGGGACCACTGCCCCTTCCCCCATTGTCCTAGCCCCACAGCTCCTTTCCCGTGCTCTCCTTGCCCCAGCTCACAATAGAGGCCAGCCCCTTTTTCAGCAAAGGACTCTGGCTCTCTTCTTAGCTCTTCCTCTGCTTCTACATTCCAGGATGAGGTGGGGGTGGGGGTGAGGAGAAGAAATGAGACAGAAAGCCTTCACCATTACTCCTAGTTGGGCACATGCAGGCCCTGTAAGTCCCAAGGAGGCAACTTTGTCCCCAGCTGCACCCATCCCCTCCGGGCCCCTCCCTTCCCCTCTAGCTCCCTCCCACACAGCTTTCCCTCAGCCCAGAGGCTTCCCTCCTTTCTTCCCGTGGCATGAGCGGGAGTGAGAGGTTTCACACTCAGTTGACTCCACAGCTTCCCGCCTCCCTGTTTGTCTAACCTGGATTTGAACTATAATTGCTTTGGTGACCCATCCTCCTCCAACATTAGCTCCAGTTGTAGGAGCACTGCCAGCAACCCCTTCAACCAACTCGCTCCTGAACCAAGTCTGATCTCCCTCAATGAAACCTGGCTAAATGGCAACCCACTTAATTGATAACGCCTCCCCCCTCCTGCTTTTTCTGAGAGGAGTGAGCTCCAGGGGTGACCCACCTCTTCGGGTCCACAAAGCAATGTGTCCCAGCCTGCTCCACCAGCAGCAGCTGAAACCTGCTGCTTCCCAGGTAGCCCACTGGTTCCCCTTCCCTCCTACTTACCCTTAGGCTGCCAAGGGGAAGGAATTCCTGCAAACAGTGTGAATTGCAGGAATGTCCAATTCATCTGAACTTCAGGGTGAGCCCTGAGACTTTTCCTGCCTGAGGCAGAATGGCCACTGGGGCCTTCTGCTCCTTTGCAAAGGGTAAAGTGGTCTATATTATATCAGCGCCTGAGATCAAAAGCCTTACAAACCGGGAGTAAGAATTACAACAGAATTCAATGATCACATTGTTGAATGTGATTTGCTTCACATTCATTAGATAGATAGTCCATGTTAAAGCCTAAGACATTTTTATTAAGTTAAGATGAATGCTAATTAATTGCCAATTAAATAGCATGTCTGTATAAATCAACCTTCATCCACAATGTAGGAATCTGGTGTTGTGCAGAGGGGAATATTCCCTTGCAGCTGTTCTTTACTAAAAAATCATTTAATGTAATTGCCGAGATAATTAAATTATTTGCTATAAATATTCCTTCCGACTGAGGAAACCATTCTGATTGGAAAGGAAGAAAAGCCCTCCCTTCCCTTTAGAAGAACATGATGAAGTCATGTCTGATAAGGGGCCTCAGTGACCAATTCACAGTGACTGTCCAGAGAGGGATTTCAAATGTTGAAAAACACTGTACAGATTATGTAATTTGGACCTTCAACAAATCTAGAAAAGTACAGTTGAAGACTCTATTCTCAAGTTGCTCTTCTTTGTCACCTCGTTTTCCAATTCCTAACTGATTGGGTTTATTAGCATTTAAGACCTTTCCAAGTAATTCAAAATCCTTCTACTGAGCAAGAAAATAATTTGAAACTAATATGAAATCTGGTAAAACACTGACAACTCTTAACAATGTCGCTTTTGGGACCTGTAAAGATGTCCTGTCATCTTGCCACCCAAGCAATGGACTTTGACAAGTGGAAACAGAGCTAAACAAATATCTGGCACCTTCTACTTGGGAGTAAAGTTCACATTTATTGTGAGATGACTTATTCGGAAACACCGAGTTTGTCAGTAGGTTCTCACAAACATTATTTTTATTCTTCTTCAGAAGCAGCACTGATTACAAAACTAGATTTCATTAAATTGGATTATAAAGGCAGAAGCTCCAGACTTTACCCTTATTCTTTTGATCAGGGTGCTTATGGTGCCAATCTCAGAAGAGATAGCAAAGAACAAGCTCTATATCCACCATCACATCGCTTCCTCAGTCCATTAATGCAGACTGTTGGATAGCAGCAAAGCGCAATGGCTAGCATGATGTGACAGTCGGCTCAGAGGCACCCAGGCAGCTGGTTGGCACAAAAAACAATTATCCCATCTGTTTCATGGATGGGCCAGTCAGGGAAGAAGCATCTTTTCTCAAGCATGAGTGAAAGTGCCAAGCACCTGGCAGAGCAATTTACTCTTATTCCACTAGGGAATCCCAGAAATGCAAACTTAAATGAATTAGATTATTCAGTGAGGTCAGTAAGACAATCTGCAAGGATGCTAGCTACTTATTGTAGAAGCAGCTCGAAAAATGTCAAACTATAGCAATATATAAATGTATACATATGCATACATACAGTACAGACTGATAGACAAGTATAGGTACAGAGAAAGTACTATAGATATAGTGATACAGATATAGACATATATGAGATACATGGGACACATTTTTAAATGTATCTGCATAGGCTTCAGTCCCATACCATCGGTCCGCAACCAAACCTACAATACACATTTCAATAAATATTACATTTTCTTAATATGATAGCAGTCCTGTAATGTTGCAATGTTATACTTCTTCAAAGAAATCTACATCTTTCCAATTGATTCAAGTGTGCTTAGTTCTATTCTACATTACACACCATTAAAATATATAGTTCTTTTACAGTCAAGAATTAAGTTAATTAAGAGGCAAAGTGAGGACTAGATGAAAAGATAACTATCTCTATTGTAAAGAAGATTAACAAGATCTCCATGACAAAGAAGCAGAAATTTGACAGTATCAAGACCTTGCTTGTGAACAAAACTACTTTGGCACAGTATTTAAAGAGGTACAATTGTATTCTGACTGCAGAAAATCTGCCTGTAAATTTTACACTTGCAGTCAGAATCAGGAATTTCCTATGTGCAGAAAACATCTTGGTGATTCTTAAATTCCAGGGAATGGGAAAACTTTTAGGCTTAAGGCATTTTCTTTTTCCTTTTTTTTTAAAACTGGAAGTTGAGATCTACCAGCTGGAACCAGCTGGAATCTTTTATAGAGAGTGAGTGAAGAACATCTTTTTGAAATATACAGTAGGAATGCCATGCCTCAAAGCAATTTGCTTTTAGTACCAGATTATAGTTTAGTTATGCAGAAACATACTCCAGCTTTTTCTATTAAATTTTCTTTTGTTTTAATAGGCTTTTTAGATTAGAAGATGGGAGTCAATGACCTTTGGAAGTCTAACCACTCAAAGTTTATAAACAGATAGGTTTATATTTTACTTTTCCTTAAGGGACAAAAGGAGTATACATAGCATTCTCTATGACAAATTTTCTGCACAACATCCCTGCCGGGTAAGTTGGGCTAAAAGATAGTAACTGATTCAAGGTTGCTCGGTGCTTCCCTGCTTGGGGACATGTACTCAAATTTTCATCTCCCTGGTCCTATAGTCCAACTCTTTCCTTAACTGCTACATCACGTTGGTTATTGAAATTCCAAATGATTTACAGTAAACTCTTGTTGCACAAAATATTCAGAACTGACCTTGGTTAGACAAAGAGTTGGACTTGGATCTTAAGAGATTTCCATTTCTTGCCACTGACTCACTGCGTGTCTTTGACAAACTGTATTAGTGATAGCTTCCTGTTTTCCATCACATATCTTTCTTGTCAAAAAGACAGCTCAGAACATGAAAGCTCTTCAATGAAGTAGGAGTGATTAAAAGTCAGCAGCAAAAGTCTGCTGCTGTCCACCAGTTTGAAGAACAAGTTTGAAATGCCTCATAACTTGCCATGATGGTTGAGGCTTGTAAGGCATACTCCTCAAAAGATCAGAGTATCGTCTTTTACCACAGAAAGCGTCTTAATACCATTTCCCATATTCAGACACACTTTTCCTAATTCTATCAATAGCAATAGTTCCCAGTAACTCTCACCTGGATCCCTGGATCCTTCTGTGGATGCAGATATCCTAGGACATATTATTGCGACCATCAGAACCCTAAGAAGATCACACCACAGAGCTGTCATCCTGTTATCTTTTCTTCTTCTTCACTCTGGCTCCCAGTTGGATACTCAGATACTTAATTAAAAGAGAAAAATGAAAGTCACTCTTTTGTCCTGCAACACATTATCGATATGTGTCTGTAACTACCCAGGTTTCCTTCCAAACATTTTGGAGGTCAGTAGGTCAGTGTACAGGTACAATTATTAAAGCTTTTTAGACTGTGAAAGTATTACTTAGCATTATCTCAAAAGAAAGAAGTGGCAGGGAATGGAATACATTCATTTGCCAATCCAAACATTCAAACATTCTCAACACTAGATACAAACAACTATTTATGAAATGCCATCAAAGAAGCGAAATAGTTTTAGTAACAAATGGTCTTTAGCTTATTACGGTTCTGAAATATAGTACTCGCTTTGAAAGTTCCCAGCAATCCTGTTCTTACTGTACAATTATCTATGCTTAACTGAACCTTGGTAAATGCAATTAATCCATTATCTGAGATAATTATCTGACACAACAATCATAAACTAATCAGGCTGGCTTCACCTAGTAAACTAACATGGGGGGGAGGGGTGTAGTTTGTTTACAGTTCATCCTGCCCTGCAAAGACAGCCAACACAAGGTTTAAGGTGTCTTTCCAAGCTGCACTTTTTTGAGCTCAAAGTTCAAGAGACAAACTTAAGAGCTTCTATCTGACAAAGGAATCAATCCCTAAGATCACCATTGGCAATCATCCTGCAACACACTGAATAAATCCACCTATAATCCCCCCCCTTTTTCGCACATCTCCACAATACATCATTTTCATGTGGCTCTCCAGAGCTTGTGCTGAACAGATCTTGGGAAACTGGCCCACGCCACTAAAAGAAAACTTCATAAATTACCTCAGGCAATGTTGGGGGAGGGGGGTGCGGGTAAATGGAAGAAACACGGGTGAAGTTTCATCCTACTGCGAGGATTTAAACTACTTGTCCAAACAAAGCACACGTGTGCTTTCGAGTAACACACACACACACACACACGCACCCGCGCGCGCGCCCTCCAATAACGCAGGTTTACTCCCATATGGATTGAAGTGCCATATAAGAACCCCGTTCACTTAAGTGCGGTTTTGGGTTGTGTTTGTGAAAAAGTTGCGTCTAGCCACTTTTGAAGGGGATGTTTAGAGTGGAACGGCGGGGATCTGCCTTGTCACTTAGTTACACGCGGCGCGTGTGGGCACGATGCACGTTCGCACCGCACGGCGTGGACGTGGGGCAAGGGAAGAAGTTGCGCTTAACGATGTCCTCCCTAGGTAGAACAGCTTAATTTTTAAACCGGGGAAACAAACAAACAAAAAAAGTTTCTGCGCAGCCGGACGGTTTAGTAACAGATTTACAGACCCTCCGGGTCAAAGTCGGCAACATCAGGCACCCCGGAAGGTCTCCGGGTTCCCGTGGGCAAGACCTCAGAGTTCCTCGCCTGCCTCTCGCCCCGCTGTCCGCTTTCGGAGAGAAGAGCGCCGATCCTCTCCTTCCCATTCCCATCCCCGGTGCCTCAAGGCAACCAACCGGGGACCTACCTTTCCTCCTCCTGCCGGCTTAAGAGTTGTCCCCAACTACTCCGTCTTCCCGGGCTCCGTCCCTCGGAGGGTAGGAAGAAAAGGATGCGCCAGGGTCCCGGTCTTTGGCCGCGGCGCTTCGTCCCGCGCAAGCATAAATCCGGCAAGGCGCCGCCGCCGCCAACCTTCAGCGTTCTTCTCCGGATCTTCCCGAAGCGAGAAACGCGGCCGCGTCCTGAGCCGGATTCGACTTCGTGAGCTTTCTGTCGGCTTCTGCAATAGGCGCTGGGACTTTGTAGCGAAAGCTCTCAAGTTACACCCCCGCGAAGCGCACAGCCGGCCAGCTCCGAGCCAACAATGGGCCGCGAAAAGAGCCAGGCCGGAGGGGGAGGATCAGAGGGGCCTGCCCCGCCCCCGCCCGGTCCCCTCCTTCTGCCGCTTCCCCCGCCAGAGCCGGGGCCTTTTTACACTCACATTAGCTAAATTCTCTCCCCCAAAGCTTCGGCAAAGGGGATTAAGCAGAGTTCAATCTCGCCCAGCCTTTTGCTTCCTCTCTGCTTATAATGGTAACTAGAGATACGACTCATTAAACTTCGGTTCAAGGGAAACTCTTCATCCGAAGACAAAAAGTGAGCCGGTGGGGGGAAATTAAAAGCCCGCGGAAGGAGAAAGAGGAGGAATACTTTAATCCAAATTATGCAGATCTTTAATTTATTTGAGTACATCTGACAAAATGAATATTCATGTAAAACGGCAGGATCTTGCACCTGCGGAACCCACTGCTGCATGAAGCGCTTCCGATAAAGGGGTGGTGGGGGAAAATTAGCTTGCTTCATTATTCTTTAGGGATATCAGTTTCTGGGATCCAATAAGCAAACTTCATTTTAATAATAGGTAATTTGGGAAATAACGTGATTCACTAATCCGTGCAATCAGACTGAGACTTCTAAATGTTATTCCAGGAAAAGGCAGAAAAGTGACCCAAAAAAGTGGGTCTGATTTACTGCATCACACTTGGAGGACTTGTCACAGAACATGTATCATAAATGTGGCCCTGAAAATCGTTATGGGAATCTAAGGGTCACTCCAGTGCCTGGGATTAGTAGGATATTATAAAGTTAGTCTTTCTGCAAGATCTCTCCTCCTCCTCCTCCTCGTTTTTATCATCCGCCAGTTAGCACTGGTGGGAAATATAATCTATCCATTGTTTTTCAATTGCAGCAACTTGTAAAATGTGTGGACTCCAGAGTTAGAGTCCTTATATCTTAAAGTAGCTGAGGTTGAGAAACACATCTGTGGGAAGGTGGTGGAACTGGGGAAGGCACTATGGTAGATTGTTCAAGATAAGAGCTGGGAGAGAAAAAGATGGTAAGGAAGTGGATAGAATGTAAGGCAAATGTGTCAAAGAAGCTTTCAGGGGTGTGTATGTACACACACACACACACACACACACACACACACGTGGGGAAGTCAGCATTTTCAATATGGTGTTCTAGTAAGGTAATTTACAAGATATGCAACTGAGATAAAATCAGAACAGAATATATTTTAGTTTTCCATCTCCCTCCCCCCACTTTTTAAAAGTTGCATGCAAATTCTAGTTTAAATTTCCTGTGGGAGATTATCCATATATTTTTCAAGATTTTTTTTTATGAACATGCTTTAACCATATGCGCACAACAAACCTGAGTGCTGAGGCTCACACCCTCCCCAACTATCAAAATAGGAGAGAACATTTAGAGAATCCCAGGAACTTTTGATTGTTTTTACTGGAAAACCTCTCTGGAAACTTTTGCTTCTGCCTTTAGCCATCTCCCTACCAACCTCCTACCCTCTCCCCCCCCACCCATTGTTCCTAATCAGTATGGCCAGTTCTGGCAACTGGGAAAAGAGGGTCTAGGAAAGTGGCTAGGAAAATCAGATGTAAACTTGCTGAAGGAGATAGTGAGATAGTGGAGATGGTCATTCCTCCCTATTCTGCACACTTAAAAAAAACAAACCAAGAACAATAGCAGAAGTTTTCCCTCAGGCTCAGTCACACCCAACAATCTTTGGAGGAGCCAAACTGTCTGCGCATGTTATCAGGACTTGTGGAAGGTTATCCACATTGGGCTCCTCTCTCTTTCCATACCATCCAGCAACAAGCCTTTCATTTTAATGCTCCGTGCTTTATTTTCCTCTGCAAGATGGTTCAATCTTGGGAAGAAAATATTTAGGCCATGACAATGGCCGATCTTTTTAAGCTAGCTACAAGAGCTATCTTCTTGGGTTTCTTTCTAATATGCTCTGGGCTACCTTGGTATATTAGCCATGATCTCGTGACCCTGCGTGAACAGATGTGGATGCAATCAAGATGTGGAGGGTGAACCAGGAAGGGCATGCCAATTGATCAAGGAAAAAATCTACAGAGAGGCTCCAAAAAGGGCTAATTAATGGATGGCAGCCACCTCCCAAGCCAATTTTCCATGCTGAAGGAGGGGGGGCTATTGAACCCCACTGATTAAAACCTCCTCCTTTGAATGAAACTGCATCCAAACAAACACATTCCAAAGCAAGCACAGCCTCACCCCTCCACCAAGCCAGAGCCTCCACAGTGGAGTATCTTCCTTTCAGATAAAACTCTCCATATCAATAGGCTCCCAGAATGGGGGATTAGCTTTGGCTCTGTCTCCAGGTAACTGTGGTCTTTGGGTTTTCTCTGTTCATATCCTGTTTTTCTCCTCCTGGAGCTGCAGGATCCTCTTCTGTCTACTAAGGGATATCTCATCTTGTTTTTCTCCTTCCTAGACTTAGAAGTGAAAATAATAAGAGCTGGTAAACAATCAGAGCTGCTCCAGCGAATTGGAATCCCCAGATCAGATCAGGAAGATGAAAAGCAAAGATGGGACCCAATGTGGTATGTTGATTAAGATATTGGACTAAGACCAACCAATATCTTAAGCTGGAGGTTCTGCTCCAACAGGAGCTCACTGGGTGATTATGGACCAGTCGCTCTCTCTCTCTCTCAGCCCAACCAGCTCAGGAAGTGCTGGCTGTGGGAAATAGGAGGAGGAGGAGGAGGAGGGAGTACAGTCTTAACTGAACAAAAGGTGGGAAATAAAAATTAACAAATGAAATGTGTAGACAAACATCCTGGAAGAAGAAGGCGATGGCAAACCATTTTTGTAACCTTACCAAGTCCCTTAAATTACCAGGAATCAAGCTTGCCTCAGGGATGAGCTTTCTTGTTTTCTAAAACAGTGATACTTTTAACTAAAAAGAGTATGGAAGAAGCATGGAAAAGGTTTTTTTTTTCCTTTCTGCTTCTTCACACACTCCTAAATTCCCAGGTAATATTTGGATGATGCTAAAGAGCACATGAATTAATAGAAGGTTGCATTCGGAGTGTGTATTAGCACAAAACACATAGATTTAATAAATTCTCAGTTCACCAGTAGGTTGCTGCTGTCTTTTGACATAGCATGTTTGGGTGAAACAGATGCCCTGAAACAGAAAACAGAAACAGAAAAGGCCTCTGTGTTTTTCATCATATACAGGTAGTCCTCAACTTACAACAGTTCATTTAGTGACTGTTTGAAGTTACAACGGCACTGAAAAAAGTGACTTAAGACCATTTTTCACATTTATGACCTTTGCAGCATTCCATGGTCACATTATTTACTGGTATATTCAGTTGTTTGACAGCTGACTCACATTTATGACGGTTGCAGTGTCCCGGGATCATGTGATCCGCTCTTACAACGTTCTGACCAACAAAGTCAATGGGGAAAGCAGATTCACTTAACAACTGCAGTGATTCAGTTAACAAACATAACCAGAAAAGTCGAAAAATGTGGCAAAACTCACTTAACAAATTTTTCACTTAACAATATAGGTTTTGGGTTCAATTGTGATCATAAGTTGAGGACTAGCTATATATCTGCATTGGCAACTTTGCATGTGAGGCTCTTACTGTAGTACTTGCAACTTCCACGTTGCCACTCTTCCATTCTTTTACCAGTAAGTAAATAAGATGGGGATAAGCTCTGCCCCCTTTGCTTGTATTTCCCTAGTAGTGCACATATTCCTGCTATTGGCTTTTTCTGTAGATTTTACTTTATTTTAGCTGTCCAGGAATCACCAAGCAAAAGACTCCACACCTTTCATACAAATTGCTCTTTTAAAATACGATTTCAGGGGCCACATTTGGATTCCATCCGATGCATCATTTCATTCCTTGAGTGCTACTTTGGGGAAGGAAAACTGCTCCTAGCAGATTTTGATGCTCGCTCCCCCAAAAGAACAAAAGCCTCCCATTTTCTGGGAGGGAGGAACCTTCTTGATATGAGTCTTCAACTACAGCAGCTGCCTGACGGACATGGATCCTAGGCCAGGGCGATGGTGTAATTAGGCAGAGAAATAACGGAAGCAGAGAAGCGTATAATGTGCTCATATTCATCGCCAGGACTTGTTTGCTTCAGGAAGTTCCATTGCATCAGGAGAGCAAAACTGTTCCATTTTGCTGTTGGGTTGGCTTCTGAAACCCAGGACAGCTCCAGTTCCTTTGGTGCATTGCCAGCTCTGGCTAGTTGCCCCCAAGGCCACCTGAATTTACAATGTAAATCACCTTGCAATTTATGGAAATGGTGTTCCTGGAAGCACAGGCCAACTGGACTTTATTGGAAGTGCTACGTGGCTAGTCTGGAGCTGGCGCTGGGAGATTGGTCCAGCTCAAGGATAGTTTTTATGATGACATGCAAACAGAGTGGCAACTTTGGGGGCTTCTCCTGAGACCGAGACTGAAGTCTAAAAGTACGGAGAACTGCAATATAGTGATCAAATCAAATCAAAACAGAGCAGGAAAAAAAGGCAAAGGGGTGGGTTTCAGCAGGTTCTGGCCAGTTCTGGAGAACCGGTAGGAGAAATTTTGAGTAGTTCGGAGAACCGATAGTAAAAATTCAGAGTGGCCCTGCCCCCATCTATTCTCTGCCTCTCAAGTCCCAGCTGATCGGGAAGAAATGGGGATTTTGCAGTAACCTTCCTCTGGAGTGGGGAGGGAATGGAGATTTTACAGTATCCTTCCCCTGCCATACCCACCAAACCATGCCATGCCCACCAAGCCACACCCACAGAACCAGTAGTAAAAAAAATTGAAACCCACCACTGGTCAGAGAACACAGAAGGGGAAGGATGGGCTCCAAAGAGAATTGCACTGGCAATTGCTGTATCGCAGGAAGACCAGGCTTCCCGCTACTTGGCTAGGTAATTAGGGTAGAAAATCCTAAGTGCATAAACTGTTTGACATTGGAGCGAGGCAACACCTCAGCAAATGCATATTCCTGAGCAAACATTTATACGGAG